TGGGGAGAGAGAGAGAAAGAGCTCTTCCACCCTCTGGTTCACTCCTCATATGGCCTCTAAGGTTGAAACCAGGAGCCCGGAGATTCCTCCTGGTCTCCCACATTGGGGCAGGGGCCGAAGAACTTGAGGCATCTTCTGCTAATTTCCCCAGTGCATTAGCCAGAAGTTGCATCAGAAGTGGAGCATCCAGGTCTCGGACCAGCACCCAAACGGGATGCCAGCATCGCAGGCAGCAGTTTTACACACTGCACCACAACACTGGCCCCTGTATCAGGTTTCTCTCCAGCACTTTTTTTTTTTTTTTTTTTTTTTTTTTTTTTACAGGCAGAGTGGACAGTGAGAGAGAGAGACAGAGAGAAAGGTCTTCCTTTGCCTTTGGTTCACCCTCCAATGGCCGCCACGGCCAGCGCACCGCGCTGATCCGATGGCAGAAGCCAGGTGCTTTTTCTGGTCTCCCATGGGGTGCAGGGCCCAAGCACTTGGGCCATCCTCCACTGCACTCCCTGGCCACAGCAGAGAGCTGGCCTGGAAGAGGGGCAACCAGGACAGAATCTGCCGCCCCGACCGGAACTAGAACCCGGTGTGCTGGCGCCACAAGGCGGAGGATTAGCCTAGTGAGCCGCAGCGCCGGCTGCACTTTTTTTTTTATAAAACATTTATTTATTTATTTGAAAGTTAGAGTGACACAGAAAGAGGACAGGCAGAGAGAGAGACAGAGAGGTCTTCCATTCACTGGTTCACTCCCCAATTGGCCACAATGGCTGGAGTTGAGCTGATCCGAAGCCAGGATCCAGGAGCTTCTTCTGGTTTCCCATGTGGGTTCAGGAGCCCAAGGATTTGGGCTCTCTTCTAATGATTTTCCAGGCCATAACAGAGAGCTAGATTGGAAGTGGAGTAGCCAGGACTCAAACCAGTGCCCATATGGGATGCCAGCACTACAGGCGGCGGCTTTACCTGTCACGCCACAGCACCTACAACTCTTTTCAGCACCTTTATATACTTCTTTTTGTTAAAATCTTTAATATGTTGTTTACCTCCTACAACAGAGATTGAAGAGCTTTGCATACATTTGTTTGACTAATAAAGGACTTATATGAGTTACTACCAGGTCTCATAACTCGCTCTTAACCAGGCTGCCTCTCTTTATTTCCCTGTGGGTTTTTTTGGTTCGTTTTTTGTTTTAAATTTTTATTAATATAAAGAGAAAAGATTTCACGTATATCATAGGTACAATTCTAAGAAGATAACCATGCTTCTCTTCCTCCTGTCTCCCTTCCTCAAACCCCCTTCTTCTTTCCTTTTTTTTTATTTATTTCTTAATTGACCTCCTTTTGGTTAATTTATTTCTGCGCTTTAATCATTATCTAGAGGAAGAATTTAGCATCAGAAAAGGCTGTCCTGGTAAAGATCACACAGATGCAGGCTTTATGTTTGGTCTGCCCTTTAACTTCCTCACCATTGACTTCAGGCTGTTGGCTGTCACACCACACTGTCAATATTACAATTTAAATGTCTAATTAGCACTGCAAACTTACCTTTAACAAAACCAAGCTTTTAATATTTTCTGCAAACCAGCTCTTCTGGCCATTGTCACAGCTGCAGTGAATGGTAACTGCACCATTCCAGGGGATCATGATTGAGCCAAACCCTGGAGTAACTATTAACCTTTTTTATTCTCTCACATCTCACTTGCAGTCTCAAGTTCCAATTGATCTAATTTTCAAAAGATGTGTATTGCAGCCGGCGCCGCGGCTCACTAGGCTAATCCTCCGCCTAGCGGCGCCGGCACACCGGGTTCTAGTCCCTGTCGGGGCGCCGGATTCTGTCCTGGTTGCCCCTCTTCCAGGCCAGCCCTCTGCTGTGGCCAGGGAGTGCAGTGGAGGATGGCCCAGGTGCTTGGGCCCTGCACCCCATGGGAGACCAGGAAAAGCACCTGGCTCCTGGCTCCTGCCATCGGATCAGCGCGGTGCGCCGGCCGCAGCGCGCCAGCCGTGGCGGCCATTGGAGGGTGAACCAACGGCAAAGGAAGACCCTTCTCTCTGTCTCTCTCTCTCACTGTCCACTCTGCCTGTCAAAAAAATAATAAAAAAAAAAAGATGTGTATTGAATATGACAATTCCTCACCACCCATCCGCAACTGAAATCCTTTGTCAGGATTGTTACATTGCCAACATTGTAGTCATAGTTCTTCCCTTAGCCCATTGGCCCTGCTTTTAGCTGTGATCCGGAGTTCTTTCAGTTGGCACCAGAGTCCAATGAGCAAAATGCTGAAGCCTTCACAAGGTGAAAGAGACCATTAGCCATTTCCACCCAATCCACTATTTTCTGAGCATACAGTACTACCCAGTATTTCCCTAACTTGCCAGGCATGCTCATATCTCAGGGCCTTGCATATCAGTTCCTCTTGAACTCTCTACAAATTTTCCATTGTTATTTTTTTTGAAATTTTAACTCTCCTGATTAGAGAGCATTTCCTGGTTACTCTAACAGTGAACACTCTACCTCCATGAATCCTTTAAATCCTCTTTTTCCTACTCCGCTTTCTTTTTATCATGTATCACTATGAAAACAACCATAAATTACTTCTCACATGTTCATTTCTCAGTTTCCCAGTTAAAACATAACCTCTAAGGGGCAGGCATGTGATGCAATGATTAAGTCTCTGCTTGTGATGCCCACAATCCATATACGAATGCCTCGTTCCAGTCCCTGCTACTACACTTCTGACCCAGATTCTTACCTACATGTACACTGGAAAACAGTGGATGATGACTCAAGTACTTGGTTCCTTGACACCCACCTGGAATACCAGGCCTGGTTGGAGTTCCAGTCTCCTGGCTTCTGCCTGGCCCATCTGTGGCCATTATGGGCATTTGAAGCTCTCTCTTCCTCTCTCTGTTTCATTTTGTCTCTCTGCATTTCAAATAAGATGAAAATAAATAAATTTAAAATAAACTCCATGAGATGCAGATTTTTTTGCCTTCATTTCTCTTTCCTTCTACAGATGCCAATGTTGTAAGAGGAGAGGTGGTTAAACATATAAGAAAACTATTAGAGGATGAAGAAACAAATGGGCTTACACCTGATAGAAAAGCAACTCATCAGTGACTAGAGAGTCACAGAAATGAACTATGTGTTTCCCAGTTTCTCAGAAACTAAAAGCAATAAGTAAAAGGTAGAACAGTTCTTACTAAAGAAAAGCAATACTGATTTTCAAGGGATATAAAAGTTTTGATTAACACTGAGTACCAGGCCAACCAGAGTGACAGATATGCAAACAAGAGAAGCGAGGGGGGCCGGCGCCATGGCTCACTTGGCTAATCCTCCACCTGTAGCGCCGGCACCCCAGGTTCTAGTCCCGGGTGCTCCTCTTCCAGTCCAGCTCGCTGCTGTGGCCTGAGAAGGCAGTGGAGGATGGCTCAAGTGCTTGGGCCCTACACCCGCATGAGAGACCAGGAGGAAGTGCCTGGCTCCTGGCTTCAGATCAGTGCAGCGCACCAGCCCATAGCAGCCATTTGGAGGGTGAACCAATGGAAGGAAGACCTTTCTCTCTGTCTCTCTCTCTCTCACTGTCTAACTCTACCTGTCAAATTAAAAAAAAAAAAAAGAGAGAGAAAGAGAGAGAGAAGCGAGGAAGATTTATTTATTCTCACCTTTCTAAAACAATCCAGTTTTCAATAACTGCAGACACCTAGAAATTAGAATTTTCTTCTGAGGTCTCAAATTTGCAGCACTTAGACAAAATCCAGCTTTACTTAGGTTCTGTAGAAACACAGTATTTTTAAACTGCTTTAAGTTCTTGACAATGTATAAAAATATTTCAAATAAACATTGGAAAACAGGGTAAGTGACAACAAAGAGGCATATATTATACTTGTCGAAATCAACTGGACCACAGGTATTTTAGACAGCCTTTAGAACAATGCTTGGGACAAGTACATGTCATATTGGCTTGCTCCTGTTTGAATCCCAGTTCTGCTCTCAATCCTGATTCCTGCTGATGCACACCCTGGGAGGCAGCTGTGATGGCTCAAGTACTTGGGTCCCTGTCACCCAAGTGGCAGACCCAGATTGAGTTCCTGGCTGCTGACTGGCCTGGCCCACCCTGACTGTTGAAGCAGATGTGAGCGTCTCTTCTCTCTTCTCCCTCTCCTCCCCCTTCCACTCTCCCCCTCTCCCTCCACTTCCAATTTTTTTTTTTAGAAAAAAGAATGATTGGAGATAATTTTTAACTTTTGCCTACAGATTAGGCTTGCTCTTTTAGGAAGGCTGAGATATATGTTTTCCTTAAGCCTGAATTTATTTCAAGCACTCATGCTACCTGCAAACTCACTATGGTCATTTTATTTTGTGAATTCTGAGTAAGTGGATTCTAAGTAGATACTCATTCACTTTACATAAATTGTTGCTAACTATTACAACTTTATAAGTTGGATTGCATATACTTGATTATATTGTGGATGTGGAAACCTCTGAAAGAAATTAAGAAACTAAATATTTATGAAAGTTATTATTAATGTTAAGTAGGAGAGTTGTGCTTCTCATTCTATCACATAAACTTGCATATGGCTAACCCTATCTATTTGTAATGTTGACCACTCATTTTTCATGGATTTGGGGGATAAATTCTTTCACATGTTAGTGAAGTTTTACTGAACATATCTAAAATAACATTTTAGATATGTATTTATTCAAAATATTTTAGAATAGAGGATAAACAGGAAAAACAAATACCGGACCAGACAACTAGTCCCTGGCAGAGGTGAGCTGCCCAAAGTGCACAAATAGGGAACATAGATAATCATTCTACAGTGTGGCATCCTCGTTTCATGTTATCATGTTCTAAATCAATCTGAGTGGAAGGAGTCCTTGGAATAAGTGGTACAAAATGGATAGAACAACAATTTCTAATCATCATGACTTCCTAGAATTGAAATCCATTTTAGGTATTTTAAACCACAGAATTACTGTGGGTTTAGCATTTAAAAAGTGCTGCAATCACCTCTTTCAGGTCTCCCTCTGCGTGGACTTCTGGTCTTCCACTTGGGAAACAAGGTAATATTTTCATTTATCCCTTTGCTATCCTGTATGCCTAATAATAGTGTTCTGCAAAAGAAATTTTAAAAACATTATTGCCACTATGCCTTGAGATGCTTTAAGAAATTATCTTCTGGGGCCAGCGCCGTGGCTCACTAGGTTAATCCTCCGCCTGTGGCGCCAGCATCCCATATGGGCACCAGGTTCTAGTCCTGGTTGCTCCTCTTCCAGTCCAGCTCTCTGCTGTGGCCCGGGAAGGCAGTGGAGGATGGCCCAAGTGCTTGGGCCCCTGCACCCGCATGGGAGGCCAGGAAAAAGCACCTGGCTCCTGGCTTCAGATCAGCATAGCTCCGGCCATAGCGGTCATTTGGGGAGTGAACCAACGGAAGGAAGACTTTTTTCTCTGTCTTTCTCTCACTGTCTAACTCTATCTGTCAAATAAATAAAAAATTAGCTAAAAAAAAAGGAATTATCTTCTAACATAAGCTACTGATTTACCTCATTTTGAATGCTGCTAGATAGAACTAACACAGACACATGAAATTGTTTATTACACTGCTCTGAGTGCCAAAGTCTTATTTTAAGGAAAAATCATCAAAATTAGGGTTTTGGAAATACAAGGCATTGTGAATTTGATATGTGACCTATTAAATCATTTTCTCTGTCTAATATTCAGACACCAAAATACTTGCTGAACTAGAGATAATATTTATAACAGGCCGGCGCCGCGGCTCACTAGGCTAATCCTCCGCCTTGCGGCGCCGGCACACCGGGTTCTAGTCCGGGTCGGGGCGCCGGATTCTGTCCCGGTTGCCCCTCTTCCAGGCCAGCTCTCTGCTGTGGCCAGGGAGTGCAGTGGAGGATGGCCCAAGTACTTGGGCCCTGCACCCCATGGGAGACCAGGAGAAGCACCTGGCTCCTGCCATCGGATCAGCGCGGCACACCGGCCGCGGCGGCCATTGGAGGGTGAACCAATGGCAAAGGAAGACCTTTCTCTCTGTCTCTCTCTCACTGTCCACTCTGCCTGTCAAAAATAAAAATAAAAATAAATATTTATAACAGACTTAGTACAATGTCTGGGATAGAGCAGGTGCTTGGTAACTGTGCCGATTTCTGTGTTTGTCATGTACCAGCATGCTGAAAGTGTTCTTCACTCTCAGGTAACATTTGTCCATGTTGCAATTTCTTTCTTCCATGGAAAATAACTAATGAAATTTATTGTAAACACATGTATAATAAATTTATTTTGCATACTAAGAGGAAACTGTATGTCATTTAAATATATTTTCATTGTGGTGCAACTGGTTATGTCATGTCTTGGGACAAATGCATCCCATATCAGAGTGGCTGGTGTGAATACCAGATAATCGACACTTCTGATCCAGCTTCCTGCTAATGTTCCTGGGAGGAAGTGCACAATAGTCCAAGTACTTGAGTTCCTGCCACCAAAGTAGGAAACCCAAATGGAGTCCTAGCCCCCACCTTCAGCCTGGCTTGGCCTTGTGTCTGCTGTTTCAATCATTTGGAAAGGGAACATGCAGGTGGAATCTCTTTCTCATCACTCTCTGCATATATCTATCTCTATCTCTATCTCTATATCTATATCTATCTATATCATCTATCTATACCAATATAGATAGATAAACTTATATATATAAAGAAATCTATATTGATATATACCTATACTCATATATATTCCTCTCTCTGTATCACTGTCTGCCTTTCAAAAATAATTTTTTAAAAAATAATAAAAACAAATATATTTCATTAAGTACTTTTAAAATTAATATAAATGAATCAATATTTTATCCTATAGAAGTAAGCAAATATATCTCATATTTTTAATAGAATGAAAAATTAATGTCAAATTTAGGCACTGCAGATCTCCCAATCTAGCAGTGCTGTGTGTGCACATTCTCCAGATTTGTATAGATATAACCCATTGGCATATTTAATACCATTTGACTAAAAACATGCCCTTCAATAATAAGTAGTTAATTTACTACTTATAGGTTATAAAGAACTAGATACTATCATATCAAGAATGCTTTAGAATAACTTTATTTCCTTTTTAAGCTCTGTAATCAGAAAACCTTGTGGACTTGTCTAGCCCTAGAACCGGAAACTGAAAGAGCTGGGAGGAATCTTAGAAATCATGTAATACTTGTATTAGTGTCACATTACATGAGAATTGATGAGAAAATAAAACAGAGTCTTATAAGTGAAAAAAAAAGTAATATAGTAGTGAAGGCTGGAGTGGATATTCTAAGCATTTAGCATGTTTTAATGTTGGTTACTAATTGTTTTTAAGTATTGAAATTTGAAACTCACACTATTTAGTACTGAAAATAGCTGACATATCTTAGTAATTTAGCTCTTTAGTATAAAGTTGGTATACAGAATTTATTTTCAGTTTACCTGAATTCTGTATTAGATATTCAACATATTGCAAAATATACCTTGGAAACCCTTTAGATAGAATGGTTCAGAAGTTATCCGCAATACATAGACCCTAAAATCACTTAGTAGAAAGTTCTGAAAGGTTTGTTTGAGGGAAGGTCGAAGTATTTAAAAATATTTTGTCTCAGCAGATCAGAAAAGAAAGGGATATTTAAATTTGGGGAAACCTTTTAGGGCTTTTCAATCAATATATGTTGTACATATGGCTATACTTAATATTCAGTGGCTACCAATTAAATAAATGCTGCTGCCTGTGCTGGTCTTTACATGATGTGAGTACAGTACTTAACTATAAAGTCATTGGATTACAATTTTTAGATGCCTGATGATGACCTAGCAAAACATAACTATGACAGAGAAGGTTAAAGTATGGACACATAGACAAACTAAAAACAAATTGTGTTGCTACAGAGTTCAAGGAATTATAAGATCTAAGAAAATGCTATAAAGGAATTTCAAGGAGCAAGCACATTTCTGTGGAAAAGTTTTTTGGAGATCATATAAATAAGCTAGCTCTTTTGTATTATATGGGTAACTTTTTTCCTCCTTATGTGTGTTTTTGTTACTTTTGTGAAAATAAATGTTGGAAGAATCATAAAAAAAAAATCATGTAATACTGATCCTTAGCTCATTCTCTGAAATAACCAGTGACTGGCTCAGGATTGAGCAGCCTGTCCAATCTACAGCTGTGACCCGTGGGCCTGATGCCCAGCATGGTATCATTTCCACCTGCTACTTCAGCTCATCATTGGGACAGATTTCATATTTCAGCTCATATGACCATTGATTTACAAATTGCTTGCTTCCTGTTCTACTTTGCATTCTGATGATTATTTTCAATAAGATTGAAGAAGAGGTATAACTAAGAGATTATAGCCATTTGGTATATCACCATATTTCATGTCTAAAGTAGTGTTTGACATGTGATAACAAGTTTTAAGTCAATGAGCAAGCAAATTAATAAACAAGTATCTAATTATACATATAATAATAATCCTCCTAATTTACTCTGTCTAAAAATTTTTCTATATTTTAGGAATCAAGATATCACATCATGTTCTGTTAATAAAATTTCTCCTTATAAAGAACTTCATGATCATATCAATGTTTCTTCAATGGATTTGCTTTTTTTCAATCTTTATTTTCCTTCCTCTATTATCTAGGACAAAAATAAATGAATAAATAACTAATGAAGACACATAATTTTAAATGTAGTAAAAATATTAACTGATGTGCTGCATACTTATTTTACAGGACGCAGTAAACATGAAGTTCTTCATTTTCACCTGCCTTCTGGCTGTTGCTCTGGCAAAGCCTGTAAGTATAGAGAACTTTCATAAGGATTTATTCTCATTGGTATATAAGAAGGGAAAATCTTTTATGCAGGCGATGGTGGAGGTAGGCAGCAAGAAAACAATTTAATGTGCAAACTTTAGAGCCCATTGTCGAAGACAGCACTGGCCCTGACTTCCACACGATTTGAAGGTGGACACACTTTACAAAGTAAGTTGTAGGCTTGGGGAGATGTTTAGCTACAGGTTAAAGGGCATATGCTTCCTTCTATTTCAGTTATAATTTACCAGAGAACTGTCTAAAACTCCTAAAATATCTCTCTGAAAGTGCAGGAAAGCCACAGATTTAAAAAAAAAATAGATTCTGAAATGTTTATCAGTTGGCCAAATTTCATCATTATTTAAAAAAAAAAGATTTATTTATTTATTTATTTGAAAGGCAGTTACAGAGAGGTAGAGGCAGAGAGAGAGAGAGAGAGAGAGGTCTTCCATTCGCTGGTTTACTCCCCAGATGGCCTCAACAGCCGGAGCTGTGCGGATCCAAAGCCAAGAGACAGGAGCCTCCTCCAGGTCTCCCATGAGGGTGCAGAGGCCCAAGGACTTGGGCCATCCTCTACTGCTTTCCCAGGCCAGAGCTGGATCGGAAGTGGAGCAGCTGGGACTTGAACCAGCGCCCATATGGGATGCTGGCACTGTAGGCAGCGGCTTTACCTGCTATGCCACAACGCTGGCCTCTCACCATTCTTGATTGTAGTACTTCAGAATCTAGAATGATACAAAACAAGAGAAACTGTAAATTGCTTGCCAAATAACCAAATGCAAAACAGTTCCTTACTTTCTCAAAAAATCACGTTGTTTTAGTAAAATAAAATGATATGCCACAACACAAGATGGAACTAGATTCTTCTTGTGAAATAATTTCAAAACACACCCTTGCCCATGCGTGAACCATTCACTCCTTTAAATAAATTATTTTAATCTTCAAATTTGTGCCACTTTTAAGAAGCATTTGCCCAATCTAATAACTAATATCAACTAAATAACATAAAATGTGATATTATAGTATTAGTTCCTTTTAATATTATGTGGTATATGTATGCAGATGTCATATTTTAAATTATGATAGGATTAATACATAAAAACTAGGAACCCAACTTCTTCCTAAAAGTAGGAAATGTGTAAAGCTATAACCTAAATTTATCTAAAGTATAACATGATTTCCTTATAAATTAACTTAACTCAATAAAGTTCTCAATAACACATAACTAAAATTTTCTTAGGACCAAGAAACAAAGCAAAACAAAAGAGACAATTGCATGTTTTAAAATTCATAAAAATGAAATTTATATTGTTCTTTGTTTTTTTTTCTTTTTCCTATAGAAGATTGAGCAATCTTCAAGTGAGGTAAGGTCCTCTAACAGAAAGATGAAATCCTTTTATTTTGTATACACAGCATATGTCCTCAACTAAGCATTGCATGCTTTTATTGAGAGGGAGAGGGAGAGAGAGAGAGAAGGCTCTCTACATTTCCACAGAAAGGACGCATGATCATCTGGATCCATATTAATTGGTGATTTCTAAATTATTTCATGGGCAACATGCACAGAAGATGCCTAAAGATATCTTCAGTGTCAACCAAAGATGTTCTAATTTGCCTTGTATATTTGTTCCCTCTCTTAAATCAGAAGAAAAAATTTCAGAAAAATCAAAAAGAAATTGGAGATTGTGCAGAGAAATAGAAAATCTTTTCTTTCTTTCTTTGCAATTAATGTTTAGGAAATTTTTGTTTCAGTTGTTCATAAACCAAATGTGATATAGAATGAGTTTTTTCTCTGGATTATGAAAAGTTAATTATGCAGGGAGTGAAATTTTGCTCAACTTTGTCCTGTATTCAAGCACAAATAACTGTTTTATGTGCCCAAGAGAAAATAGGTATATCAGTATGAAGATAATACAGTAAAATAAGCTTTTTTTTCTTTTCTAAGGAAACTATTGCTGTCTCCCAAGAAGTATCCCCAAACTTAGTAAGTTAAATGTATTTTAATTTTTTCACTTTACAAACATTGTAAAATAAACTTTTTTATTTTATAGCAATTTAAAGAGGATAAGAATGTAGTCATTTTCCCCAGTGAGGTAAAAATTTAATTATTTTAATCTATTTGCCACTGATGAGATATGAAACATCCTTCCCCATCAAGTTAATCTTTTTCACTCACTCAATAATGAGTAGTTTAACTATCCTAGTGAAAATGATGATCTTTTCATGGTTTTACCAAAATGCTTTGGGCCAGCATTTAGGGGTCCCAGAAATAGACTAGTTAGTTGTATCACTTCTCGGACTTTTGGCTAAGATCAAGTGTAGATGAGTTAGCTGTGTGTTATGCACATTATTAAAGCAGAAAATTTTGAAAGAATTTTTTCTGAATGTTGTCACCACTCTACACTGTTTTGCTCATAAAATAAAGTTTTCTTTGTCATAAACTTATATTAAAAATATTATTGCAACTCAGTAAGTGACAAGTTCCTTTTTATTTCTTTTCTTTTTAGGAAAACATTTGTTCTACAGCCTGTGAGGTATATACAGATTTCACACTTATAGAACATCATCATGTAAAACTGCTGTCTTGCTCTGAGCCAAAATGAAATTAATCTAAATCTGTAAAAATGTGGCATGTGGGCCATATTCCACTGCTTTCACAAGCCATAAGCAGAGAGCTGTATCAGAAGAGCAGCAGCCAGGACACAATGTGGTGCCCATATGGGATGCCCATACTGCAGGTGGAGGTTTAGCCTATTACACCACACCACCAGCCCAAATTATCTTTTCTATTTAGATTACTGTGTTTTTTTCTTGATATTGACTCGATGAAATTTAAGTCAATACATTCATAATAGAAACATTACGTATTTATCAAAAAAAGAAGTCAGTTGGCCTAGGATTTTTTTTTTTGTAATTCACAATATGTTAAATAATGGCAAGTGAACTGAAAAGTTTTCGGCTCAATGTCTAAGTGATTCTGTGTGTTTATTTATTCATTCATTCATTTGGCAAACCTGCACTGATGTTTATCCTAGACTCTGGGAGTCAGTGAACATTGGATACAAAACCCCTCCCTGTTAATGTTCAAATTCTAGTATACTGGTTGCTTGTTTATTACCAAATAGGAAAACTGAATACAGTTCAACAAAACTTTACATTGAAAATGGATCTATTATTATGATCTGCTTCTGGAAGGGAGATTCTCCCACTTTCGTTCAGGAGCAAATTTTTATATGTAATAGTTTATGTATTTTGTGTAACACCAATGTTTAATTGCTTTTGTTTTTTATTTAAGGAACCCATAAAGAATATCAATGAAGTGGTGAGAAATTCTTATTTATTTGAACAATTTTTGATTCATATTTTCAACATGTAATATAATATTAGTGAAACATGCAAAATATATGTTGCTTCCTCTTTTATTAAACTAGAGATTAATACTTGCTTTAAACAAATTTCTCCCCTCCCACTTAAATATTATACACCTAAGTCAGTGTATATTCTCTTGAGACACTTGAATTGAAAGTGATTTTTATCTTTGTCACTGGCTTCTCAAAAGTGATTTATAATAAACAGTCAAGAAACTTAATTGTTTCTTTTTATTTCAATCCTTTACCTTATGATACTAATTATCATGTAGGTAAAATACGACCTATCTAAAATAACTTTTATCATTAAGGAAATAAGGCTGGTGATCTCATGTGGTGACCAGATTTTGATTATTACTTACAATTTCTCAAAGAATCTTCTAGAAGATGCTTTCTTTTATCATCAAAAAGTACATTTATCAAAAAAGACAGATTTTAGCAATTAGATTGTACATGAACTTGTTATCCAAACTTAACATCATTGTGGGGAAATGGAAATGGACTATTTATACAGTGTCCATTGATTTCCTTATCAGTTCTTTTTGAAAGTGTATTTAGATATTAGATATCTGACTCCAGACAAAACTGCTTGTTAAATCAAATCAATGTCAACTCAAGTGTCTTCCACTTGCTTTGATACAGTTTTATGCTGAGGAACTTCTCAATATTGCTTAGATCAGTGGTGCTCGAAGTATTGTCCCTCAAAACTAGCAACAATTACATTGTTTGAGTGTTCTGATGCACTTTAAAATTTGACAACTTCTTGTATAAGGGAGAGAGTAAAGGATTAAATTAGTAGTTATACAGGTCGCTGGTACAAGAAGCATTCACTGTCATAGAAATATGCAGGCAATGCGCATCACGAGACCAGGTACCTGGCAAAGTCGTGGCCCTGAGATGTGGTCTTGGACAAGACCTGAAGTGTCCTTAATGAGTGGAATTAGCAAACATACCTTACCATCTCTCAGTATTCAATGGCCACTTAAAAATAGCATCCATGTCCTCTAGAAAAGATTGAAAGACTTAATCTGCTACATGACATGCCAGGCCTGTGTTGTAATACTTTGTCACCTGTCTACCTTCTGCAGGAATTTGATATTGTATGAATAATGTAAAATTGATGAAAATGTTGAAATAGAACATAGCTTAGTTGTGTGCTACTGTTTTGGAACAGAGTGATGTCTCTGATTCTGAATGTTTTGATTTACTTTAGTTTCTTAAATTTCTAATAAATAATGTAATTTCTCAATAACAGTGGCTTTGGCCTTGAATATATATTTAATTGTTCCCAAAAATCATTAGTACTACTCCAAGACTAAGTCACACAAGTAATGTTAATTTTTCTTTCCTCAGGAATACGTTGAAGTTCCCACAGAGGTAAGTAATTCTTATTCAAATAAAATAAAATTATTATAACTTACAGTATTTTCTTTTTGTGTATTTTTATAGCAAATTAATTTTTTCCTTACCACCAAATAAAAGCATTACTTACAACAACTGGCAAATTTCTCATACAAATAATTTCAAGTGAACTGTCAGATTATAGCTGTTTCTTTTCCCAAATGGTCACACAATTGATTCTACATTAATGAGAACAATTTGTAGGAAGTCATTTCTCATTTCCAGCTCATTTCCAGCCAATATCTGTGGATTTATATTCTAAAAAAATTTAGCACTAGACAATTATCCACATGGTTTTGGAGGAGATACAAACCTCAGAAAGTTTGTTCAAAGTGTAAATGATCTAGGTTGGCTACGAGAGTAGCTAAGCACTGTTACTCACTCAACTTCTCTGACAGTATCACCATAGGCAGGTTTCTCAAGAGTAAAGGTTTCCAGTCATAGGAGGTTGTGGAAGCCACCCTCTGTGGAGTGGAGAAATTTACTCTGTGTGAAGGGAAAGAGCATGGCTTTTGGAGTCACAAAATTTGTATTTTAATTCTGCAGCTATACAAGTTATACAGAAGCTACAGATTCCTCAACTAAAAGTGAAGGGAGCTAAGTTGACCATGAAGGCTTATAGTAGATGATATACAATTAAATTATGTTTAAAAAGTGCTATGCAGTAGACAGATGCATCTAAAAGACATGGAAATTAGTCTTATCATTGCTTTATAGAGAACAGATATTTATTTTTAAATCTTAGTAATATATTATCTTTCTTAGAACTCATAAACCTGGAACACCCTAAATAAAATTTTTCTTTTTAGGAAATTCTCATTGTTATACTGATCTTTCTCTTGTTTTGTCAAAATAATTTCAATAGCATCTCAGTTTGTACTACTCTCAGCACTGTGGATTCAGCCAACAATTATCCCCAGATAATTCTAAAGACTGACTTTCTACACACCCATTTGTTTTCCTTATGAAATGAAAATTCTTATAAGGAAAAATATCACTGTCATTTCATATTAGACCTCTAACAGAATTTTCTACAGCCAGATCAAAGGCTTTGAAACTCTGCACACTGCCTGAAATATTTTAACATTCATTCTCCTTCACAATAAATAATGAACAAAGATTAAGAAATTGATCAGGGTCTAAACTCCTGTACCCAGTTTGAAGGAAATTAAACTTCTGTTTTCTCCAATGCCAAAGACCAGACTGACTTCTAACACACATGCAAAAGGAATGACAAACGGAGACATACACTCTGTCATTCAAAACTTTTTTCTTTTTTCTTTATTTCACATACATTTTTATAGATACTCTTCCCGGAAGGCCTTATTTATCAGATAATTTCTTTAATTATGTAATTGACTATAAATATGGACACAGTAAGTTTTATGTGTCTAGGCTATTGTTTCACTGGATTACTTTGCAACATTTACAAATTATCTCATTAAAGGTCTACTTTATATAGGTCTGCCAACATCTGCTTTGGCCCATTAGAGAGCCAAATATTGGATTAAATTCTATCATTTTCTTTTTCTGTAGATAAAAGATCAGGAATTTTATCAGAAGGTGAACCTCCTCCAGTATCTCCAGGCTCTTTACCAATATCCCACTGTCATGGACCCATGGACTCGGGCTGAGACAAAGGCCATCCCCTTTATTCGCACTATGGTGAGTTCCATGTTTTAAGGGATTGAGGAGAATAGGATGAAAATATTTAAAATAACCAGAGGCAAAATTCCCTTAAAATTCTTATTACATTTTACTACTAAGACAATACTCTTCTAACTAACAAGATGCTGTACCATATATTGAATAGTCTCTAGTAAATTTTTAAAGCAATGAGTCAAAATGAATAAAATCTTGGGGAACTGGGACTGCAGCCTTCTAAGAAAAATTGGAGGACAGAGCAAAAATGTATATATCCAAGGATTCTAATGTAAATTTGCACTAGGAGATGCTACCAAGAATTTAATACTACTTCCATTTTTTTAAATTTACCTACTAATATTGCTATCATCCCAGGAGACAAGGTGTGTATCTGAAATTTATAAGCTGAATGAGAGGAGCTCATTGTCAACCTGGAATCAGGACTCTGGTACATCCAGAACCATACAAAGTACTCCTCTCCAAATATCCTCCAGCATAGCACAGGTGACCAAATACATCCTCAGTACAACCCCATATAGAAGCTGCCTGTGTTCCCACTTATTCCATTTCTTAGAAATGACGAAAAGAGCCGGGCGCGGTGGCGCGCACCTGTAGTTCCAGCTACTCGGGAGGCTGAGGCCGGAGGATCGCTTGAGTCCAGGAGTTCTGGGCTGTCATACGCTATGCCGACCGGGTGTTCGGCATCAATATGGTGACCTCCCAGGAGCAGGGGAACACCAGGTTGCCTAAGGAGGGGTGAACCAGCCCAGGTCAGAAACGGAGCAGGTCAAAACTCCTGTGCTGATCAGAAATGACTAAAAATCAATAAAAGAGAAAGAAGTGTTAAGAAAAATACCAATTTTATTAAAATGCATTTTGTTTTTAAGGAATCTGCCATCTTTCCTCAGAAGTTAAGTCAAAAACATGTATATTTCTGTATTTTTATATTACTTTTTACTTTGTTATGACTATTTCCTTCTATATTTGTAACAAATGTTATTTATTTTGTAGCAATATAAGCAGGAAAAGGATGCCACTAAGCATACCAGTCAGGTAAAGTTTATTTATCTGTTCATTGATAAGATACATCTTAAAATATTTACACTCTTGATTTTTTTTTTTTTATCAATCTCACCACTGGGTAAGATCTTTTTCAATCTTTGAGTGAAAGAGGTGACGTTTTCATGGGTTTACATGCCACAAGAGGATGTGAAAAGGATCCTTAGAAACCATAGTTGCAGATCATTTGTGAACCACATTGTCAAAGTTACTGGAATAATATCAATAGATTTCTTGGTAGTGGTCCATCACCTTTCTACCATAATGGCTGCACGATTGCCCCAGACTACTTGGATTATATTATATGCTCTTGAATTAGAGGACACTTGCATCTTTATTCTGTTCCATGAATAAAACCCCTCACCACGAATCTAACAGAAACAAAAACTTAATTGCAATGCTTTTGAGCAAAACCAAAAGTAGAGCAGAATTGCAGACAGTATACAATATTAAATCATATCTGCATAACAGGATTTGTGCATAGTTTATTAATTTACATTTGTCATTGCTAATATAGTCATTATTAAAATACACATCAAAGACATTCTGTATACAAAAGTAAGACAGCTTTAGTATGCCAAAGAGTCCTCCATTCACATGAGCAGCCCTTTGGGACTAACACATGTTTTAGCATCTGGACAGTTATGCTGCACCCAACACAAACACCAAACTTCCCATCATATCAGTCCTCTTCTTCCATCCACCCCAGTGATTCAGTAAACTCAGCTATTATTTTCGCAGTTGCTAAATAGTCTAATGGAGAAAAAATCCAGATCTTAATTTGAGACTGATGGGCAGGTTAGCAAATAGGAAAATTTTGCTATTTTGTGAATAGCTACCTTTTTCCAAAGAGAATTATCTGAGTTTTACTGATATTTTTAAGCACATAAAAATAAAAAAAATTCTGAGACTTATCCATACTATCAGAAGAACAAAGACATTTTATACTTTTCCAATAATATGTAGACATGAAAGCACTGAGTATATACAACATATGTGTGTATATATATAATGTAAATGTATATATATAATTCTTAAATTATGTATTTCATTTTAAACTATTTTCCCTGATGATTTAGTACTGATTATCATACAAAATTTGAGAACACAGATACTGAGTAATAATGGAAACAGCTACTTTTGTTATAATTTGGTGAATAATCAGTTAAAACTTTAATACTGCATGATTGAACTAATCAAACTAAATTTGTCAATTCTCATAAAAAGTAAAGACCTAATCACTTAGTGATTTTCACTTTTTTAAAAATTTTTTTCAGTTAATCACACTGTGTTCATCTTTATTTAGTTACTTACTTATAGATAAATATTTACTTTCTGTCAATTACAAAAAAATTGAAATTCTTCTACATAGTTTATTGCACACATATATGAATATATTAAGAGACTAAATCCCTGAAGGTAGAATTTCTGGGTAAGAGGATATGTACATTAATGTTTTTAAATTATATGTTTATAACAAACCTTGATATCATAACTGAATGTATGAAATACATATGGAATCTATATAGCACAATAGTATCCAAATGAGAGTTCACAGTCTTGTGATAGTTTTATTACATACATATGTGGCCCAAATATTGTGACCCTATGTATTGCTCAGTCCTGCTTGTGTTTTATCTCCCTTTAGAACACATTAGATAATTGCATTACCATTAACAAAGTGAATGCACACTAAGTCCCTTAATTAAATAGTAAACTGCCTTGACCCAATATTAGGTTTTCATAGTTAACTGTAGATTCTAAATATGATAAGAGCAGATAATATGAGAAGATCCAAAGGGTCTTTTTCCTTTCGAAATCTGATAACAAGTAAAAATTGTGTAACTCATATTATCATTTAGATTGATTATTTTTACAAATATTTTTTAAAATACCCTGAATTTAAAATTAGTCTCTCTCTTTCTGTATGTCTCTGTGTGCTTTCTTTGGTTTTAAGGTGTATTAATCATATTATACTATAAGTAGTCTTCTTGTTCTTGCATTTTACATTCAATACATTTCTAGCACATGCATCCATATTGTTGCTTGTAAGTAACATCCAACCATTTACACTACTGATGACATTTCACAATTCAGCTATTCATTTCTGTGTTGCTGAAAAGTATTTGGATGGTTTTGGTTTTAAAAGCATTTTTAATTTTGAGAGACATTTCCAAGCTGTCATTCTTTGAAGGTGGAGTATATTTCTGTCCAATTATCGATGAATGAGAATTCACACCTTTTAGTTTGAATTTTGTAGATATTTCTGAAGCTACATTTGGATGTCAAATCAGTGAGTCAGAGGAGTTCTTTCATGGGCATTAATAAAGAGACCAGAAAAGAGATCTCTGCTCCAAGGAGGCCTCATGGCAGCAGTGAACTAGCCAAGACCACCCCATTAACAGTACCAAGCTAGGAGGCTTCCAGGCACCTAAGAAGTAACCTCATAGGAACTCCAGCACTTATCTTCTACCTTGGACATTTTTTTCTGAATTTGTTAGATGGAGCAAATGGACCATCTCCCCTGAAAGAACTTATTATGCCACAAAGTAGGGTAGAGGAAGTAAGAAGCATGAAGCAGGTCAGGTCTCAGGACAACCTCATGCCTGTGGACAGCAATGGAGCAGCAGGGGTCAGGGACAGGTGTCCACCTTGGCCTGCAGGCAGGTAGGGAATTCTAAATGCAACAGAGGTGAGGGGATATGGAGTCCAGCTTTGTCGTTCAAACTCCTGAAAGGGCAGAGTTTCCTTTCTGGGTAGGAAATCCCCTGAATTATTTTAGGTTTTTATTTTTCCTAAAGTTTTCATTCTTGTAAAGTTCTGTTTGTTAATTAAATATTTTCCTTACCCATTCTCTACCTAAGCCATTTTCTATACAATCCCTTTCTTGAAACTATTAATTTTTAAACTTAAATTATTAATAGAAACTGTATGCATATCACTAAACTCATGTGTCACTTTATTACAATTTTCAAAATAAATATATTATTAAAATAGGCTGACTTAAACTATTTGATTTATAAGTTAATCTGAGGAATTCATTCATTCACTTAAGATCATGAAGGTACAATAATGATTTTTTAAAAGCACTACAAATAAGTTTATTTTTTCATCTTCTTTATGAGAGAAGTTTATATGTATATACATCCAAAATGAAATTATGTTTATAAGCAACACAGTGAGAATGATGAGTCTAATACTTAATGTATTTCAAAGAAGACTATTGATTTGGAGAAGCATTATTTCCTCATGAAACTATATTTGATTCTTAGTTTTTAAAATGAATATTAAAATAATATTGTATTACTCTTGAAACACTTTCAGCACAATAGAGTGAGACTTTAGCTTATGAGAGCTACAGCTTCTTGGTACTCCTTAACTGCTGTTATGTCATTTAACTTGAATTATTTTAGTTAAGAACTTGCATATTAGAACACACTTACACAAAGCCCAAATTTCACATGGTTATTTCTTTTCTAAAAAGAATTTTTTATTATTTTTCAACTTGGTATCTTATTACAATCAGTCTTTTTCATCTGTCATACTAACACCCTTGTTGTATAAGAGAAAGTTCTGTAATTCCACAAATATTAATAAATACAGCTAAAGATTCAGCCATCTTCATTCCCAAATTTTGATTCTTATTACTTTTTATTTCTCAAGGAATCTTCTAGTAGATAATCTAGAGAGGGAAACTATATTTTTAGAATCAAGCAACCTAACTGTGTTCTTTTGCTGCTGGCCAATTATTTTAAGTAAATTAATCTTTGCTATTTTTTTTATCAGAAACACATCAAAACATCCAGTGGAAATAAAGAAAAAGCCTCCTAATAAACAGATATAGAATCAAAGTCATTATAGAGATGTGAATTGAACTCTCTCATAGCCCAGAGTAGCTTTTATAGCCCACGCACTTAGACAATGTATAGCTGAACTCTTGTTCATTTCTTGTTTAAAGATGTATTTATTTTTTGAAAGAGTCAAGTACAGAGAGGGAGGGACATAGAGAGAGAGAAAGATCTATCTGCTGTTTCACTCCCCAGATAGCAGAAATGGCCTGGGCTTAGCCAGGCAGAAACCAGAAACCAGGAGCTTCATCCAGGTCTCCCATAGAGACCTAAGCACTTTGGGCTATCCTCTACTGCTTTTCCCTGGGGCATTAGAAGGAAAATGGATGGGAAATGGAGCAGCCAGGACACAAACCAGGGCCCATGTGGGATGCCAGCATTGCAGGCAGCAGCTTTACCCACTATGCCACAATGCTGGCTCCTCTTGTTCATCTCTTTCTTCTTTTTTTTTTTTTGTTTGTTTTTTTGATTCATTTATTTATTTGAAAAGTAGAGGTAGGGAGAGGTAGAGGCAGGGCAGGGGGTGGGGGTGTCTTCCATCCACTGGTTCACTCCCCAAATGGCCGCAATGGCCATAGCTGTGCCGATCCGAAGCCAAGAGCTTCCTCCAGCTCTCCTACACAGGTGCAGGGGCCCAAGAACCTGAGCCATCTTCTACTGCTTTCCCAGGCCACAGCAGAGAGCTGGATGGGAAGAGGAGCAGCCAGGACTCAAACTGGCGCCCATATGGGATGCCAGCACTCCTCTTGTTCATTTCTAAAACAAACCATTGTCAAGTCAGGATCCTTTTCACTGCCTTTACTGTAGTACCCAGGACCCATCCTCGTATTGTTTGAGGGTCGGATACTGGAGTGGTTGTAAATTGTATAAATTACAGGTGCACTGTTGGAATAGATAGCCAAGTGGAGAAACACAGCTGGAAACTGTCCTGGAAGAAGGCAAAGTGAGGATTCTGAGTCCTGTGGCTTGGAGCATAGCCCAAAGTTTTCCTCTTGAGTGTGGTTGAAATAAAGCTTTATCTTTTCTTTCCATCTCTAAGTGTGGACCACTGTTAAACCCATGATCCTCTAAGAAAGGGCTCGGGGTGGCAAACACACCTGAGCAGGTTGGATTAGATTCTCTGTCTCTCTCTCTCTCTCGTGTTTTCCAAGTGCTTACACCCCATGTGACACTACATGGGCAGTGCAGATACAAAATTTGAAATAAATCACATTTTCTGTCAAGTACCATTATGTTGTCACAGAGGTCTGATAATGAATATTTAAACTCATTTAATTCATAATCAGTTTCTATAATGTAGCTGAAGCATTCACTCAGGTAAGAAATTTTCTTTAGATGAACTTAATTAAATATTACCCCAGAACATTTCCTCTTGTGTTTTATAACAGTTTGTTCTTGTTTCTAACAGAAAACCGAACTGACCGAAGAAGAAAAGGCTTTTCTAAAATACTTGGTAAATTTCCCATAAAAACATTTATAACACATGTGATTTTACTTGTACACTACTGAACTGCAGTTCTCTTGATAAGAAAAGCCTGTGTTTAGTAAATTATATTTATAAAAGTCTTCCTTATAGTCTGTCTAAATTGTTATAGGAACATTCTCACAGTATACTAATTGTCTTATAGCCACATATCCACCGAACAATTATTTCTTGGTAAGTCTAAAGACCCACTGATTTTCCACTTCATAGTAATTAAGACAGTATCCTGAAGAAGGTTGCCATTGTGCTTAATTCCAACTTTAATCCCTACAATAATCTATATCCAGCTCTGTATAAATGGTTCAAAACGGGACATGGAGAAGGGGAATATTATTCATCATTAAAGTGTGGCAGGCACTATGCAAAATGCTTTCTCTGTACCAATCCATTTACTTCTACATCAATATTAACACTAAGACTAACTGGCTCAGTGTCTCGGATTCCACTAAATCAAATCACATGTCCTATATGGCTCTAAGGACCAGGGTTTTCCTACTAGATATAGAAAAGACACCACAACCTGAGAAACTTAGATCAAGACATCACCCTCTTGCCTTCTTAAATGCAACCACCTTTTCATTTATTTTTTTCACTTAAACTTTTTGGTCTTGGGTTCTGAATTAACCAAAGGATTCTCTTAACACTGCAGTTTATTCTATGAATGTGAACACAGAATTAATTTTTGTATAAATAAATTTCATTTAGGTCCATTTGGTGTCATTGAGAATTTATCTAAAATAATTTTAATTCATTTGCTTACATCCAGCTCTACTCTGATACATGGAATATTGGAATAATAACATATTTTTTCTAGGATGAAATGAAACAATATTATCAGAAGTTCGTTTTTCCCCAATACCTAAAAAATGCTCATCATTTTCAGAAAACTATGAACCCTTGGAATCATGTTAAGACAATTATTTACCAAAGTGTGCCCACTCTGGTGAGTACTCTCTTTTTACTGTTAATTTAAAAATTAGTTCCTTTTGTGGTAAAATTATATAGAAAAATATAGAGAAATAAGATCCCAATAAGCTCTCAACCATAAGCCAAAGCAAATCTAAATAAAGCTTTATAGGCTGCAAATTAAATTATAAATTATATAATACAAACACAATTATCATAGGTGAAAATAATAATTTAACTGCTTGCTTATAATATTTCAGCTGACTCCTATAGCAATTTTTAGAGATGGGTCAAACTAGAGAATATTATCTGTATTTTCCAAAAGTATAACAATATGCAAGATACCTAGATCAATCTCTATATAACATTTATCCTTTATTTCATTAATAAAAAGAGAAATTTGACTTACAAAACATTTTCTCTAACATGAGGAATAAGTGGAAGAACAACAGGAAATTGAATCCAACAAATGGGTATCTGAATACAAAAATATAGATTTAGAATCAGAAGGCAATATAAAAAAGCTTTTGACTTTAAGCAAGTCACATAATTTCCCAGTGCATTGTTTAACTGATCTGTCTTTCTAGAAATTTAGACAACATAGAAAGATATCTTCCTTATTATTAGAGAAAATGAGAATTTAGTAGTTATGGATTGCACACAAGATGCCTAAAGAATTCCTAAATATTTCCATAGACATGTGAACATTGTTTTAGCTTGTTCCTTAATATAAACTTTTAAAAATGTGTTTTTCTTTCTTTTATTAAAGAGATACTTATAAAATTCTTGAAATAACTGCTTCTACCTTATCTTGGTAAGTGCCTTTGAGACTAAAATTTAAGCAATGGCATAAAAGGAATTTTTATGTGAACAATGCGATCTTAAATGTTAAGTAATATAGTTTCAAGTTTGGAGAAATAACATTTCACATTGAAATGTATTAAATTGTGCTTGTATCTTTTGGCTCACCAATTATCTGCATAATTTGTGTATATATGTGCTTTATAAACACTTTTAAAATAAACTGTGATAAATTTTCTCAATACTTAGTGATACATTCAGATACTCTGAGTGGAAATCACAACACTCATACAGATGTTTTCCTTTCACCTTAAAGTTAAGCCAAGAAGCTTAGACTAAGTATTTTGGTTTGAGGAAAGGTATACTTGTGTAAGGTCTGAAGCATTTCATATTCAACTCCAACAGTTTCAAAATAAATTCCTTACATCATTTTCTCTGAAAAAAAATCACCAAATATTTTACTTTCCTTCTTTTTCTTATTTCTCTCTGACCTTTTTTAAATATTAATTAATGAATTAATTTGAACAGCAGAGTTACAGAGAAGCAGAGGCAGAGAGAGAGGTCTTCCATACACTGGCTCACTCCCCAATAGCCACAATGGCCAGAGCTGCGCCAACCTGAAGCCAGGAGCCAGGAGCTTCTTCCGGGTCTCCCATGTGGGTGCAGGGGCCCAAGCACTTGGTCCATCTTCCACTGCTTTCCCAGGCCACAGCTCTCTCTGACATTTTAATGAATGGCTTTAGAATCATGATGCAGTTTCAAGGACTACTCTTCTGTCTGTAGTCACCTTTTCTGCTTAATTTTTATTTATTTATTATTTCTTTATTTGAGAAGAAGAGAGAGAAGGAGAGGGAGAGAGCTCCCAGGCACTGGTTTACTCCCCAACCACTAGCTGCAGCTAGGGGGCGCTGAATTTGGGAGCCACAAACTCAAATAAGATCTCCCAGATGGGTGGCAGGACTCATCTATGTCCACAGTCACTGAAGCTAGAGTCAGGAGCCAGAGTTAGGAATTGAACCCAGGCACTCTGATGTGGGATGTGGCAACTTAATCTGTGCCTTATGTTCCAAGTCAAATGTCCATCATTTTTTTATTTCATTATTATTATTATTTTATTCTCTGATTTCCTATCAACGTCACATCATCAGCTGAAAACGTTGTAGGTTTTTGCCCACCCGTCCCTCACTCCTGCAGCTTCTTTCCATGCACACTGGCAGCAAATGTGCTGGTTTTTGTGGCCAATTCCACCCTGGTGAAATGACAGTTCAGTGTCCAGGGAAACTGGATGGGAGCAGTCCCAGGAAAGAAGACTGCAGGCTCTTGCCTGATGCTATAGAAAGCTGTTTTTTATTTTATTTTGCTTTTTTAAGATTTATTTATTTACTTGAAAGTTAGAGTTACAGAAAGGCAGAGGCAGAGAAAGAGAGAGAGAGAGAGAGAATCTTCCCTCTGTTGGTTCACTCCCCAAATGGCTGCAACAGCCAGAGCTGGGCCGATCCAAAGCCAGGAGCCAGGAGCTTCTTCTGTGTCTCCCACATGGGAGCAGGAGTCCAAGTCCTTGGGCCATCTTCCGCTGCTTTCCCAGGCCACAGTAGAGAGCTGGATTGGAAGAGGAGCAGCTGGGACTCAAACCTGCGCATATAAGGATGCCAGCATTATAGGCAGTGGCTTTGCCCACTATGCCACAGTGCCAGCCCCTTTATTTTTCTTATATTGTCCTTTCAGTATTTAGGTTGTCTCCTATCCTGGAATTCTGTCTCACTCAATTTATCTTCTCTATTTTTTTCAAATGGCCTGAGCACACATTTGCAAAATAAAAATGCAGGCTTCACAAAAATGACTAATAATAGTAATAATAATAATTCATTAAAGGCTTATACTTCTTAGCTCTTTACCTATATTAGCTAATTTAATGCTCAAAAGAAACACTACTTGGTTTAAGGAATCTGAAGCCCAAATTATATTAAAGACATTTTCATGATAACCGTGAGGCTACAGAAGAACCAAAAATCTAGTAGAGATCTCCAGCACTAGGCCTCAATTACTCCACGACTGATGTCAAGCTACACCCAAAGCCAGCTTGGGGGATTTTTGAGAGGATGTTTTTGACTTGAGTGCACTGTTACAGTCTTGTCTTTGATCATTTCTCTTTGGTTCTCATAATGGAAAATAGTCTGATCACATCACAAAATAATCTCACGTGAGAAATATCATAATCTTAATTGCTAAGGTTAATAGTCAAAAATAATTCTATTATATAAATAGCAATATTTCATTTACTATCATTATTCATATATTTATCATACATTTAAAAAAAATCTTATGTCCCATGATGAGAGAGACTTGAGAAATTTCAGAATGAAAACATTGAATTTACCCTTACTAATCTCTGCTAGACCAGGATGTAGAACTGGCAATGTGATCTGTCAAATGTTGAGTTAGAGATGGGAGAAGGAAATGGCAGTACAACGATATGGGCAGGTGATAGATCAAGAAGAAAACTATCAGGCAAATTGTATTTCGTAAGAAAATTACAAAAGAAACAGAAAAGTTAAAAAATATGCAATGGAATTTTGAAAAAATATTTTTAACTTATTTCTTGAACTATGCACAGTTATTTTGCATAATAAAACTGAGTAATATCTAGATTCCAGTTAGAACAAATGGTTTAAAATATAATAAGCAGTAATATTTTATATGTCCAATAAGCTATGTGGAAAATAAAATAATTAAAATTTCCTTCACGATTGACTAGAAATGTAAATTTGTATCACTCAATAAATAAATAGAAATACTATTTTTGTATCCCATATTGAAGAGGCTGGCAATGTGTAAGCTCTCATTCACCAAACTGTTCAACTTTATCTTATCAATAATCAATCTCCTTTTCTACCTTGTAGACTTTACTGGGCCTGTCAAGCACCATAATAATTATGAAAATCATATGCAGTGCCTGATATTATCCAGGGCACTAGAAAATAGAAACTAATGATAATTATAATTAACAACATTCTGCCTGTCAAGAATGAATGGACATGTGTATGTGTTTGTGTGTGTTCTGTATACAGACAAACATTATATTTTGGAATATAAACCCAGCATTGTGTTTTTTTTTTTAGATGTGACTGGAAAATCTGTCTTCTACAGTCCTCTTCTATACCATATTACTTCATAGTATCAGCATTGCATGGACAGGCTGATTGATAAGGTGGAAATTTTGAGCCAAAGAAAGATTCTGAAGAAAGTGTCCTGAATTGCTTATGCTCTTCCTGTTAGTTCATATTAAATATGCTGGATCTGTATTGTGATTTCACATGAACTGGGTTTATTATTTAACATGGCTTCATCACTCTTTCTGAATTACGGAAACATTTTTCTTTTCCCAAGGAAATAAAATTTCAAGCGCATTCTTTGGTGTGAAATCATCATTTACACTGTTTGGGTTGATCCAGGAAGCTATCGGTGTTATTTTAAGCAGCACTGGGGCAGGCGTTATGGCACAGCAAATTAAGCTGCTGCTTGCTGACACCGGCATCTCACAGCAGAGTGCCAGTTTGAGTGCCAGCTTCTCTGCTTCTGATCCAACCCTGCTCGTGCCCCTAGGAAGGCAGAAGGAGATGGCCCAAGTATTGGGCCCCTGTCATCCACAGGTCAGACCTAGATGGAGCTCCTGGCTCCACGGCAGCCACTTGGGGAGTAAGCAGAGAATAAAGATTCTCTCTCTCTCTCTCTCTCTCTCTCTCTCCTGGCTCCATGGCAGCCACTTGGGAAGTGAAGCAGAGAATAAAGATTCTCTCTCTCTCTCTCTCTCTCTCTCCTCTCTCTCCTGGCTCCATGGCAGCCACTTGGGGAGTGAAGCAGAGAATGAAGATTCTCTCTCTCTCTCTCTCTCTCTCTCTCTCTCCCCCCTCTCTCTCCTCTCTCTCACCTCCTTCCCCTCACCCTCTCTCTCTCCTTCTCCCTCTCCCTTTCAAATGAATAGAAATTTAAAAATCTTTAAATATATGTGTATATATATCCCTTTAACAATTAACTTCAACCATCTTGGCCACCACCTAAATAACTTTGTGCAGTTTCGGGGCACTTCCCTTTTACTTCTTAAATTTATAACTTATAATACTACAAATTATATTCTTCAATCACAGCTGGTTCTCAGTATTATTCAGCCTTTATTCTTCCATTTCTCGGATTTATTCTTTTGTATAATTGGCCACAGAATTTATCTCAGAAATCACCAGAATCCTCAATCTTTCTGTCCACAAAGTCACACTTAAGTAGAGATACAGAAATTAAATCCATAAGGCTTCAAAGATCCCATTAGTGTTATCCCAAATGAAGAAACAGTAAAAGCAAACAATTGGGTGTATGCATGAGTTACAACAGGCATTTTGGGGTTTAAGCATATCCAAAGAAGAAGGATGATTTAAGAAAATTAAAATAAATTATCAGGAAAGAAAGGGTAATAGAAGATTATTTAAGCTTAGAAATTTGGTTGTCATAGGGAGGGGAGTTTTTGCCAGAGAGTAACATTACATAATATATGTCTTTGACAGGTGAAAAAGATTTAAAATTTGAAGGCTTTCCCTCTGTCTTCACAAAATGTTCCAATCTTTTAGCCCTCTTATTTTCTCCCATAATACAATCCCTGTTAGCTTCACTTCCTTTCTTATGCAACTTGAACATTGAAGGGTTTTTAATTTTTAATAGGTGACATGTATTTTTAAAAGGCGGAGCAGATAGAGGCCAAGAGAATTTTTCTTTGTCTTTATAGAATTCCTAAGCCCTTGACACCCAGATTCTGTTACATCATCTCTATTCTCTACTGGCTTCACCTCCCTACTTACACAGCCCAGACTTCACCCTCGATCATTTTAACTATTATCGTGATAGTTCATATAACTCCTTTGTCCTTTGACATTTAACTAACCCTTCCTAGAAAACACCCTGTGATGTAGTGCTTCGGATCTGATTTCTGCTGCCACTCTACATCAGCTGCTGAATCTTAAAGTAAGTTCACGTCCTCTGAACTTTGTTGGTTACCAAGGACATCAAGCCTTGTTGTTGGCATTAGAGTTAACTGTCTTCCTCAACTTTTCTTGAGATCCAAATTCTTCTCATCAGAAAACCTTACCACCTCGCACACAATATCTACTCCATGGAACATAAAACCATCTCTCTCCTGATATGCCACTTCAAAAACCTCATCTAAATCTGAACATAATTTTTCTCTTCAAGTCACAAAGGGTATGTGACTTTCCTGTAATTCATAGCTAACAGCTCTTCTGATCCATATGTTTTAGCTTTCTCTGTAGGCTAGCCTTTTCAGTGATGTCCTTTGTGGCAAAGGTAATAATGACGATAATACTGAAACCAACTGAGCAGCTATATGAAGAGTTAATGTGTGCATTTGTCTCAGTAACCTTACCAATATTAAGCCTAGGCATGTATCACTGATATAACTAATAATATTACACCTTGAGGATGAGAAAATTGTGACAGAAATAAGCTTCCATCAGGAATACTAAGTGATTTGGTCCGATTGATTAATTTTTACTTCCTGGTAATTCTTATAATTCTTTTTAATATTCCCAAAATTTTCCTATACTTTTCATCTTTCACCTACACAATCATTTTGATGTGTAAGACTCTGAGCACAGCCACTTCTTTTCCAACTCTACACACAACTAAAAATTTTATCCACTCTAATCATGTAAATTGGTAAATATATTGAAATTAGTTGCTAATTCTCTCAATTCATCTCTAAATCCTCTCCTTCAGTTTACAAACATACATCCAACTGCCTCTTTAATATGTCTCTATGTTTGTTGGTTTTCCAATTCAAAAACAACATAAAGGACTAGGATAAATGTCATTTTACTTGATCCTTGTTACTCAAAACATTATTTAATATCCAGATGAATTCTCATATTATTCTACATATTCAGCCCCACTAGCTTAGAATAATACATTTCACTGAAGTAGTATTTTTCTTATCTCCTTTTGCCACTGATGAATTTATCACACTCCAGTTTCTATTTCTTTCTCAGTGGTATAGATGGATGACTAAAGATTTTTCCTATAGTTGAAGGAGATTCACAAAATATTAAAACATAAAAACACATTAGAAAAACCTGGTCGTGAGTACATATTTATGGCAACATATCTAGTAATTTATCTTTGTAGAATATTTCATTTGTAAATTAAAACTCTTGACTTTTTTGAATCATATAACAAGCAGTCATGGACAAAAGGTACCCTATTGCCATTACTACAAAATAAGAGGACATGGGGGCTGGCACTCTGACATAGCGAGTTAAAGCCCCAGCCTGCAGCTCCGGCATCCCATATGGGCACTGGTTTGAGTCCTAGCTGCTCCTTTTCCGACTTGCACCCACGTGGGAGACCTGGAAGAAGCTTCTGGCTCCTAGCTTCTGATCAGCTTGGATCTGGCCATTGCGGTCATCTGGGGAGTGAACCAGCAGAATGGAAGACCTCTGTCTCTCTCTCTTTCTCTGCCTCTCCTTCTCTCTCTGTGTAACTCTGACTTTCAAATAAATAAAATAATTCTTTAAAAAAAAAAAAAAACAGGAAATGTTCTGGTCCAACAGTCTTCTAAAATCATCTACTGTTAGTGGAATAAGAAGTTTGTCCCCAACCAAAGAAGACTACTTCATATGCTTATCATTCTTTTTTTTTTAAGATTTGTTTATTTAATTGAAAGGCAGAGTTACAGAGAGGCAGAGGGAGAGGGAGAGGGAGAGGGGGAGAGAGAGAGAGAGAGAGAGAGAGAGAGAGAGAGAGAGAATCTTCCATCTGCTGGTTCACTCCCCAACATGGCCACAGCAGCAAGAGCTGGGACCAGCTGAAGCCAGGAGCCAAGAGCTTCTTCCTGATCTCCCACATGGGTGCAGGGGCCCAAGAACTTGGGCCATTTTCTGCTGCTTTCCTAGGCCATAACAGAGAGCTGGATCAGAAGATGACCAGCCAGGACTTGAACTGGTGCCCATGTGGGGTGCCAGCACTGCAGGTGGCAGCTTTATGGGTTATGCAATAGCACTGCCCCATATTATTCATTCTTTTTCCAACTGTTAAAGATAGCAAACAGATTTCCTACCTTGTTGAACCACAAAATGATGAACTTAGTAACACTCATGATTTTTAGTGTTCCATGTTGAATACAGGTCAATTAAATTTAAGTTAAAATTTTCAATTTCATTTGCAAAAATGCAGTTTTAAAGCCTAGATGCCTTACATTAATTTTCCCCTAGCTTCCTTTTATTTACTGCCTTGCATGTGCTGTGTATCTTCAGATCCTAAAATAGGTATCAATCATCATTGCTTGAATGACAAAGAGAAGGAAGGAGGCGGGCAGGAAGGGAACTGAAAGGGAGGGAAAGGGATGAAGAAAGAAAAGAAAAATATGAGGGGGAAATGGAAGAGAAAAGGCAAAATTATAGGAGTATAAAACTACTAAGTGATTGCTAGAAGTGGGCAGGGAAGGCACTGATTACAGTGGCGTCACATGAAGGAAACTTTAGGGTAAAGAACTCTAAAGTACAGTAAAGTCGTGGTAGATGTGGAACCATGCGTTTGTGAGATTCCATTGAATGTTTAATCATTAAGTGGGAATATTCCTAATTGCAATTGAAAAAAGGAAATAAATTGGATGTTGAGGAAACCATAGGATATAGATTGTGACAGATGAATACAACAGTGTTACAAATATATAGCGTACCCTCACCTAAGAAGGTGGAGAGAAAACAGAGCTGACCTAAGAACCGAAAACATTGACTTGACTGGATACTATGGGGCTAAAGACAATGAAACAAAGTACAATTTTGTGTGTGTATACACACACACAACTTGTGTTGAGACATTATCTTTAACCTATGTTATTTAAAAAAGTGGGTTGTTTAATTTCCAAATACATCAAATTTTTATTTTCATATTATTGAAAAGCAGAAAGAGAAAGAAAGGGAGAGAGAGGATCTTCCTTCATTTAATTCACTCTCCAAGTGTCCACAACAGGCAGGGCTGGGCCTGCCCAAGGCCAGGAATTCCGAACCCCATCAAGGTCTCCTATGTGGGTAGCAAGGTTCCAAGCACTTGAACCATCATCCACTGCCTCACAGGATGCATTACCAGAAGCTATATTGGAAGAGATGTAGCCAGGGTCTGAATCAGCACTCTGATATTTGATCCAGACATCTCAAATAACAGCTTAGTAAGCTGTGCCACAGTGCCTAAATATTTGGTAATATTTAGGTATTTTTCTATTATTACTATTTAAATAAATTATATGACTAAACACATAATTTTTACTTTCTCTTTTAAATGTGTTTAGGTTCATTTATGTTCCTAAATATTGTTTATCTTGACTATCACTGTGGGATACTGAAAATATTATGTATTTTGCTATTATTCAGTGGAATATTCTGTGAATATCAGTTACATCAGATTGGTTAAATGTAGTATTCAAACCCTTTTTTTTTTTCCTGTTTTAGTCCCTTAGTTTTGCTTAAGAGAACATTTTTCCTTGACTTTTGCAGGTTATTTATCATGGGCATAGAATTACATATAGACAAGATTCTTCTTTCATCACTTGTAAGATCAGCACACCCTTTTCTTCTTCCTTGATTTCTAACTAGTTTGTTGTGATACTTACCTTTATTGTTCCGTAGGTAATCTTCGATTCTCTTGTTGCATTCAAGACTTTCTCTGTATCATTGTTTCCCAATAGTTTTGATAATTTAATAGCCAAGTGTATGTTTATGCATGGGAGGTGGGTGGGAGGTATATGGATGTGTGGAATGGGTGTGGGGTGTGTGTTCCGTGGGGGGTAGGATTTATTCCTCTTTATTTTCTCTGATCATCTTGTATCTGTGCTTTTGATTTGTAGATTGTGGAAAGCCATTATGTTTTTCTTATACTTTTTTTTGTCCTGTTATCTTTTCTACTCCTGGGATTATAATTATACATAAAGCAGAACATTTGTTATTTTTTTCAACTTATATTTTAATTGGTAATTTCTATTATACATCTGCAGGTTTTCTGATTTTCTCCTGGATTGTGTTGAGTCTTCTGACCATCCAATCAAATGCATTCTGCTAGTGAGCTTTTGATTTATAACATTTCCATTTGGTTCTTATGGTTTTCATCTCTGCTGAAATCTCTTGTCTACTATCAGAGTCCTCAATATGGTAAAGAAAATTTGCTTGAAAAAACTGATAAATACATGTGCGAACATTGCAGAATTATAAATAAGTAAAAGAAAATAGAATACTTTGACTTTTTCAGTAATTAGGAAAACTTTACTAATTTTAGTTATCTACTTTATTATTAAATGTGTGGAATTTTTAATAGAATTATTTTTCAATAGAATTATTTTTAATGCTTGCCTTGTATTTGTATATACAATTCACAGTTTATACTATTTTTACATTTTCACCACAATTTTTCATTACACAGAGATCATTGGTATTCAAATAGATTAATTTATCTTTTCCATGATTCCACAGTAAGTATAGACCAAGGTACTAACATGCCTTCTGACTTCAACCACAAAGCTAGCACCACCATAGGGCCTAGCTATTTTTATTGCTATTTTTAAAATTTACTAGTATATAGAAAAAAGATTTCATAAATACAATTCCAAGAATGCAATGGTACTTTCCTTCTTCTCTCCCTAACCCCCTCTTTTTCTTTCCTTTTTTAAGTTAATTTTCGTCAAAACATAATTCAATTTATTCCATAAGAAAAGGTTCAATGCTCCTCTAAACAAAGAGTTCTACAAAGTGAAAGGTAGATAGACCTCAGTTCCACAGGGTATAGACAAAGATTATGAAGAAAAATAAAATCACAACATGCCAGTTAAGATTGCTATAATTAAGGTTTTATTTTTATTCTATATATTAGCTACAAACAATCAGAGAAAGCATCAAAGTGCATGGTAAATGTGCCCCCTTTAGAATTTGTTAATTAAATATTTCATATGAAAGGGATCATTTCACTAAAATGCACAAACATTGGCATAAAATAGTACTATCTTAAACAGAATAAATATGGTATCTAATACCTTTACAAACTCGGTGTGAAGACATTTTTTGACTAATAGGTTTGGCAATATTTTGAAATATCATTTTCAACAATATTTCTGTGAAAATAACATTATGGGAAAGCATTGTAAAACACAAAAAAATGTGGCAACAGCATTACCAAGCAGGATTTGTCAATGTAATATCTTAGTACAAGATGAAAAAAGGCTTTACTGAAGGAATCTTACATCATCATGAATAGACTATAAAAATGAAATCACATTTTACATGATGTTAATTATAGCCTCCCATGTGAGTTCAGGGGCCCAAGGACTTGGGCCATCATATACTGCCCTCCTAGGCCACAGCAGAGAGCTGGATCAGAAGTGGAGCAGCCAGGTCTTGAACTGGTGGCCATAGGGGATGCCAGTGCTTCAGGCCAGGGCGTTAACCCACTGTGCCACAGAACCGGCTCCTAGAATCATTTTCTTGAATATTAACTGATATCTTCTTTAGGTTTAGTTTGTATTTCCCCAGTGACCTGTTGTAATCATATCTGTTTTGCAATATTAAATGTCTTATTGAATTAATAGTTTGATTTTTAAAATTGTATGTTTCTTCTTATATTTTATTTTATTTTCCACTACAGAATCCAAGGTTTTTATTTCTTAAGTTTCTTAGTGGTATTTTCACTTTGATGCTGCCTTAAATGTTAATGTTAATTATATTTTCAAAATGTTCATTACTATTATTCAGAAATGTAATGGATACTTGAATATTTATTTTAATTCATCATATTTTTAGAATATAGTCTTTAAAAGTATAAACCATTTTCACTTCAAAAAGGTATACACAAAGGAAATAAAATAAAATTATGAAAATAGTTATAAAAACCAACATCTAATTTGAAATAAACATAAGTCTGAGTTTGTTATTCTAAATAAAGTGACTATAGTTGGCCATTTATATTTTTTCATATTTTGAGATTCCAAATAATCTTATAACTTTATATATATGAGCAAAAATGTTTTATGCTTTTGAGAGGGAGAAGGCATAAACTTTAATAATCAATCAATTGGAGATTGATTTTAAGTTCCCTGAAGAAAATAACCTAACCAAGACCTGAATATATGGTTTTCTCATCACCAAACCTAAAGATTTGTGCCACAGAGCATAGTGGCAAAAAGTTTAGAACTATAAATCTCCCACTGAACCCACTAAAAGCAAAATCTCACTAAACTACCCATAGAATGATTGGTTTTAAGTAATTCTATATCCCAGTCATTGCTCCAGGAAAAATTAATTGCATTATGTTCCTGGATGATAAATTGAGTTGACTGTCATGTAAAAACAGGTCAGGTAGAAGTCAATTTTTTTCAATTTTTTTTCGTTTATATAATGTGAACAAATTTTATGTATTTCATATACACAGATTTAGGAACACAGAGCTACTTCATACCCTACCATCCCTCTCACCCACACTGCTACACTTCCTTCTCCTTCCTTTCTTATACTTTCTTTTAATTTTTACAATTACATACTTTCAGTTTATTTTATAATCATAAACTTAATCCTCCACTAAACAAATAATTCAAAAAAACAGCAAGAAGTAAAAGAAAAAAAAACACTGTTCAACAATAGAGACAAGGGCTATAAACAAAAATCAAAATCATACATTCAATTTTGCTCAAACACATTACATTTTGTTTGCAGTCTATTAGTTATCACAGATCAGTAAAAATATATGATACTTGTCTTTCGGGGACTGGCTTATTTCAGTAACTATAATTGTTTCCAGTTGCATCTATTTTGTTGCGAAAGATAGGATTTCACTTTTACAGCTGAGTAGTTTTCCATAGTGTATATGTACCACATTTTCTTTTTTTTTTTTTTTTTTTTTTTTAAGTTTTTTTTTTTATCTTTTATTTAATGAATATAAATTTCCAAAGTACGTCTCATGGGTTACAATGGCTTTCCCCCCCATACCGTCCCTCCCACCCACCACCCTCCCCTTTCCCACTCCCTCTCCCCTTCCATTCACATCAAGATTCATTTTCGATTATCTTAGTATACAGAAGATCAGCTTAGTATACCTTAAGTAAGGATTTCAACAGTTTGTTCCCACACAGAAACATAAAGTGAAAAATAATAGATGATTTTTTTTAAATGATGATGAAATCAGATCAGACCTATTGTCATGTTTAATCCCAGTGAGAGTCAAGTTGGGAATTGATAGTTTCTTTTCTTTTTTTTTTTTTTTTTAACAGAAGATCAGTTTAGTGTACATTAAGTAAAGATTTCAACAGTTTGCACCCCCATAGAAACACAAAGTGAAATATACTGTTTGAGTACTCGTTATAGCATTAAGCCTCACATTAAGGACAGAGATCCTACATGAGGAGTAAGTGCACAGTGACTCCTGTTGTTGACTTTACAAATTGACACTCCTGTTTATGGTATCAGTAATCTCCCTATGCACCAGTCATGAGTTTCCAAGGCTATGGAAGCCCCTTGAGTTCTCCGACTCTTATCTTGTTTAGACAAGGTCATAGTCAAAGTGGAGGTTCTCTCCTCCCTTCAGAGAAAGGCACCTCCCTCTTTGAAGACCTGTTCTTTCCACTGGGATCTCACTCACAGAGATCTTTTTGCCAGAGTGTCTTGGCTTTCCATGCCTGAAATACTCTCATGGGCTTTTCAGCCAGATCCGAGTGCCTTTAGGGCTGATTCTGAGGCCAGAGTGCTATTTAGGACATCTGCCATTCTATGAGTCTGCTGAGTATCTCACTTCCCATGTTGGATCACTCTCCCCTTTATTTATTCTATCGGTTAGTGTTAGCAGATACTTGACTTGTTTATGTGCTCCCTTTGACTCTTAGTCCTTTCATTATGATCAATTGTGAACTGAAATTGATCACTTGGAATAGTGAGATGGCATTGGCACATGCCACCTTGATGGGATTGAATTGGAATCCCCTAGTATGTTTCCAACTCTACCAATTGGGGCAAGTCAGCCCGAGCATGCCCCAAATTATACATCTCTTCCCTCTCTTATTCCCACTTTTATGTTTAACAGGGATCACATTTCAGTTAATTTTCAACACTTAAGAATAACTGTGTGATAATTACAGAATTAAACCAGTCATATTAAGTAGAACAGACAAAAAAAAAAATACTATGAGGGATAATGTATTAAGTTGTCCATTAGCAGTCAGGGCTATGCTGATCAAGTCACCATTTCTCATAGTGTCCATTTCACTTCAGGAGGTTTCCTTTTTGGTGTTCAGTCAGTTGTCACCGATCAGGGAGAACATATGGTATTTGTCCCTTTGGGACTGGCTTACTTCACTCAGCATGATGTGTTCCAGATTCCTCCATTTTGTTGCAAATGACTGGATTTCGTTGTTTCTTACTGCGGTATAGTATTCTAAAGAATACATATCCCATAATTTCTTTATCCAGTCTACCATTGATGGGCATTTAGGTTGGTTCCAGGTCTTGGCTATTGTGAATTGTGCTGCAATAAACATTAGGGTGCAGACCTCTTTTTTCTTTATCAATTTAAACTCCTTTGGGTAAATTCCAAGGAGTGGGATGGCTGGGTCGAACGGTAGGGTTATATTCAGGTTTCTGAGGAATCTCCAGACTGACTTCCATAGTGGCTTAACCAGTTTGCATTCCCACCAACAGTGGGTTAGTGTCCCTTTTTCCCCACATCCTCGCCAGCATCTGTTGTTGGTAGATTTCTGTATGTGAGCCATTCTAACCGGGGTGAGGTGAAACCTCATTGTGCTTTTGATTTGCATTTCCCTGATTGCTAGTGACCTTGAACATTTTTTCATGTGCCTGTTGGCCATTTGGATTTCCTCTTTTGAAAAATGTCTATTGAAGTCCTTGGCCCATCTCTTAAGTGGGTTGTTGGTTTTGTTTTTGTGGAGTTTCTTGATCTCTTTGTAGATTCTGGTTATTAACCCTTTATCTGTTGCATAGTTTGCAAATATTTTTTCCCATTCTGTCGGTTGTCTCTTCACTCTCCTGACTGTTTCTTTTGCAGTAAAGAAACTTCTCAATTTGATGCAATCCCAATAGTTGATTTTGGCTTTGACTGTCTGTGCCTCCCGGGTCTTTTCCAGAAATTCTTTGCCTGTGCCAATATCTTGAAGGGTTTC